TTGCAGCGAAGTCCTTTAAAGTCAGTGTGCTTCGGCAACGGATTAACTCTGAGCGATTGTGATGCGCCTTTCCTTAAGGGGCTCTGGAAATCTATTTAGAGAATTATCCGATTTTTTTCCTGTATTTGTCTTCTGAAGCAGAACAAGATTTGAGAGAGTGCCTGGCCCAAGGTCACTTAATAACCAGAGCTTTGTGCCAAGGTCTCCCCAGTTCAAGTTTCCACCCTTGATCTGTTATATCATGCTGGCATAATGCATGTTTACGTGCATTTTGTCTTGAGTTTAGAGAGCCATTTTAATTGCCATTAAAAATCAGTGCCGGTACCTGATACTGCCATATTGATGCCGATTGCAGTATTAAGATTTAACATTATTACAGTCGTATTTAAAATGGCAAGTTTGGGATTGAGAATTTGGCAACCACTTCCATTTTTAATATACCTTCCTATCCCGCTAGCAAAAAGCAGAAACTTCTTTTTTAGCCAAGCAAGGTGATGAAGGGATAGTCAGAACATTACAGCCATCTTTACTTAGATTGTTCATGAGTAAAAAAAGTACTTTTTGGCTTTACAATGTTAGTTTCACAACTAAACTAGAATGCTAGAACGTTTTTGAGATGCAGTTGGTTGATTATATCATCAAATGACCACATAGGGAGATTTAGGGAGAGTTGAGATGAATAGATAACAAAAATTATATTAAATAATTAAACTATATTAAAATAATTCCATTAAATAGGGCGTGGATTGCAATGAGACTAGGCTATGATAAAAATTTCCAAACATCCACCGTGTTATACATAATATCCAAATGTACCTGGTGTTTTGCAGTCTTTGAATAATCCTTTTGAAAATCAAGGAGACTGGTTAAGATTTACCACCACACCCTTAATTTCTCCCAAAACAATATGTTGCAAAAACATACTGTTTTCAGTATCCTGCATGATCAAGGTTATTGTGGCATCATAGAAATAAACCTGGTTACAATGAATGAACCACATTATTAGATGCGTAAGCCCCAGAGCTAATGTTCTAAGGCTCAAGATGCTTTCCACACAAAGTTTTTAGCTCGGTGTGGTAATGAGGGCAGAGGTGATTGTCTACAACACAAAACTATTAACAAAGCTGTTACCTTTCTAAGCAGACGAGCTATCAATATACTCACATGGGATGTCTGCGGTTGTCATTGAGTTGACCAATTGTTTGGTTTCCTCCCATATCCAGGACACTTTCCTTCCTCACGTTGAGTGTGGAACCATCACCTTGATTGGGGCGACCACAGAAAACCCTTCCTTCCAGGTCAATTCGGCACTGCTGAGTCGGTGCCGCGTTATTGTTCTTGAGAAACTCTCCGTCGAAGCAGTGGAAGCTATTCTGATGCGAGCTGTCAAGTCCTTAGGGATCCAGGTTCTGAGCCAAGACGAGGGACTCACCAGCTCTTTGAATGCCAACCACAGCCAGGGCTCTGAGTAAGTATGCCTTGTAGACTTGCAACGTGTTAACTTACACCACCGAAGGAATCCGGTGACAGATTGCCAAAGCAGAAGGCAGGAAGAACTTATGGAGCGGAAAGGGGAGGGAGGGGGTGTTAATGCTAAAACCAAAGTCTTTTAATAGCAAAGGAAAGGGGTTGTGTTGAACACGGAGTAGTAGACAACAGCAGTGTGAAGCCAACGTTTGAGCCTAATTCTGTAACATCTGCTCTGGCCATTGACCGTTTGACAGCAGCTGTGTATTGCTTTTAGGTTCCTCATACAATTTCTATGCACCGGTTTATTGCACGTTTATCACAATATTCCAAAATGCTGGCCAGTTCAGCTCTCTCTGACTTGGTTTTGATTCTGTTATGATCGGAATCGCCTTTGGATCCTGGGTATTTTATTAAAAGTGAACAGTGAAAGAAAAATGATTATCTCCCCTAAGGACACATTGCTGATCCTAAAATGCTATCCAAACAATTCAAGTAAATATTTAAAATCAATTCCAGGTAAAATTATGGAAGCCTACCTCATGTGAAATCTTTGCTTTCCTCTTACCTTATTTCAGAAATTCAGAAGACTAAACGTTAAGATTAAGTGCTACATCAGATTGAAACATAGAAAACAGCTACATTTAATAAATTATATACTAAGTTTAAGGTTAAGGTTTAATGGATTTGTATGCCGCCAAATCCCGAAGGACTCCGGGCGGCTTACATAAAAACAATTTAAAAATATTTAAAAAATTTAAAATACAAGNTCTCTCTCACTTTTTCTTTCTTTTTTTCTTTTTTTATTTGTTTCTTTCTTCCTTTCTTTCTCTTTCTTTCTCTTTCTTTCTCTTTCTTTCTCTTTCTGTGTAAGTCTGTCTGTCTGTCTGTCTGTCTGTGTGTGTGTGTGTGTGTGTGTGGTGGGTTTCAAAAAATTTTGGAACCTCTTCGGTAGGTGTGGCCTACAGGTGGAACCTCTTCTAACCGGTTCGGTAGATTTGATGAACCGGTTCTGCCGAACTGGTGCGAACTGGTAGGAACCCACCTCTGGGTAAAGACACACCCGCACACTCTGGTGCCACCAACATATAGGCTGTATTTGGAAAAGTTCCAGCTCAACGGTCTACTTCAGTTTTTCCTACTCAAGATTACCTGTAACTCATTATAACCTGATTGCTAGATGGAGACGTGGTAGTCTTTTGCCAATTATGGGTTACTGTAACCAGGGCCAATAGCATAACCATAGCTGGGGAAATGGTATGAAATAACATCATATCTTTGCCTTCTAAGTTGAAGGGGTGGTTATCTCTTTTCAGAGATACATTTTGGTTTCCCTGCCTTCCAGTTCCTGGATCCTGGCCCGGCACTATACTGACATTTTTTTTTAAAAAAAAAAGCCAAAATACAGAACTGCTGGCACTTAACATTAGGAGTTTTGAAGGGAACAGAATGATGCTATCAAGGAAAGAATAGAAATATAGGGAAGATCTAGCAATATATTATTTTTATTTTGGGGGGAAAGAGAATGTATGATTGCCTATAAATCTTAGTGGATAGAAGGGCTATCAAGCAAGCACCCTTGTCGGAAAGGGCAAGAGATGATTAGGTGGCAATTATCTGTGAAGTCGTGAATATGTGAATATGATATGCACGCAACATCCTGATGTCCAGAGAGACACAGACCCGAGAATATTCAAAACAGCTCTGTTAAATCTTGTGTGTGTTTCAGAAGGCTTGGGAAAGGGAAAGCTTTTTATTATTATTAAACCTTCCAATATTATCTGGTTTCCTCTTAATCTTCATTTATAATTGTTCTTAGCATTTCAGCTCAGGACATTGGCTTAGCAATCCTTGCATCAGTCCCCAAAACTGAGTTTGAGTTTGAGTTTAATTTTATTTATAGGCTGCCCAATCCCAGAGGACTCCGGGCGGCTTACAACAAGGGGAAAAAGAAAAGCAATAAAGAAAATAAGAATAAAAAATAGATAAGTTAAAAACAACACAGATACATTCGTTTTCGGTCAGGACTGGATCTCAACAATGAGGTCAACAGCCCCAGGCCTGCCGGAANAAATAGTCAGGAAAGGAAACAGTAATTACATGGAGACCTTTTCTTATGAAACATTGAGAAGGAAATGGAGGAGTAAACAGGGATTTTTGGAAAATTCAAAAAGGAAAAAAAAGAAAGTATTCACTTAAATGACGAGTTGCCAAAAGAAATACATTTCAAAATAAGAAAACTCGGAGCCGAGAACATTTAAGCACAGAAATAGGAAAAGCAAATCGGAATCTAGGACAAGATCTGGATAAAATACAACACAAAGATTAGTGGTAGGGTAAGAAAAATTGCTTACTACAAGTGATAGATTACACCATAGGCGTTTCGGAATATAGGAATGTATTTTGGCTATGTGCTTTTTTTTTAAAAAAAAAATAAAAACATATCTTTTCTAACTTTTTTTCCTTTGTTGAAATGCTAGTAATGGAGAAAAGGAGCAGGACTTTAAAAAAAAAAAACCATTTAATCAGATTAAAAATTTGTTCCACCAGATATAAAATATTGATAACTCATTTTACAAGGTCTAGTGGCAATTTGGGTCTGCATATAATCCCAGGCAGTTAACAGGCTCTGCTAGAGGATTGTTAGCAATAACTTATTTTGCTTGCTGGTTTTCCCAACATACTTTGCAGCCTTTCGAATTTAGTACAATATTTTGAGAGATAGGAATCACTCTGAGCGCTGGACTAGAAGGAGTCCATTTTGATTGGCTCTAGCTGAGTTGAACATGCTGGACATCTGTTTCCAGTTGTAGACGCGGCTGTGACCCAAAAGCAAGAATCAGCAATGTGGAATCCTTTTTTCTGCTTGTGAATGGACCCAATCTAGAAGAATGTCTGCATGGAAAATCTTCTTCTTGCTGAATATAGATTAGTTTTGCTGGGTCAGAAATACTGAGCTGATAATACTATCAAGAGCGGAGGTGGCACAGTGGTTAGGGTGCAGTACTGCAGGCCACTTCAGCTGACTGTTATCTGCAGTTCAG